CCATAACACTTTGCCAAAAAGAACGTGTTTCTCCTGGACTAATTGTTCAATTCAGATGTTCAAGTGCTCATTCTCTTAAGAAATCAATGATCTAAAATTGTATAGGTCCTGATTGGAAGAATAAACATTTTTTTATTCGCCAGAGATTTTTGAAAATCACAAAAATTCTGGATGCTCCACCATTTTGTTTCTTTCAATTATTGGATTTTCAAATGTTCCATTGTCTTACAAAATTTCAATTAGTACTTAATCATACTAGGACATTATTCAATTATGTTTTTGATGGATGGTAAATGTGTTGCCTTAGGCTATATCAATCAGTTAGTTAGTTAGATTTGAATTTGAATTTGTTAGCTTTCCAACAAATGCAAATGAACTTTTAACATGGAAAGTGAAGAGACCGAATTGGGAAACACTGTAAATACATCACCAAAATATGCTAGGTTAAACTAATATAAAATCACATATTATACCTACTTTCTCATTGTGCCTAATTATCCACTCCACACAAGTTTTTGAATGCATTTTAGTATAAACAGTTTTGATAGAAATGGAAGATTAAAATAATAGACATTATGTCCTACCATTCAAAAAATTATGCCTACATTCAGAAAATATAGAGTTTCATTGAACACTGCAAAAATGATACCCAACATGAATATATAAATATACAGCACTCATGAGATATGAGCACATCAGTTCAAATATCTACATCAAAGTTTTCACCATTTCTCAACCATAAGGCTCAATCTGAAATCAAAATTATTTTATTCATATATAAGTACAGCCTATAAGAATAGAATGCTCAATGTTCGCACACAGATTATGCTGGAGTTGAAAAATCAAAAACTCAAAAATTATTGATCATCATTTGGATATAATATGTAGAGTTGAATTGAGAATTCCATGTGGAAATAACAGTGTCAATATTCTAATCCACATGAAATATATTAAACTTTCAGTACAATTTATATGTTCTTTACCTAGCAAAGATTATGCTGGAGTAGTAAACTCTAAAACTAGAGGATTGTTCATCTACATCTTGGTATAGTTGAATCAGGAATTCCATATGGAAATTACATATGATACGCCAGTGACCTCAATATAACCTAAAAAACATCAAATGTCAAAAATCTAGTGTTTATCCCCAGAACCTAATAAGGATAGAACTATATAACTGTTTCACAAACACTTTACAGTGAGCAGAGACTAGGATCTGTCCGTACCCTGTTAAGATGACAAATACGTCAGTCATCAAGGGAACCTAGGTTATGTGACCATGTTATGTGAATTACATGTTTGACAAGTCATAATTATAATAACAATAGTGCTTAAAAATAACAATAATATTTACCCTCAATCAATAAAGTGCAAAAATACATGATATGTAAAAGATGAAACATCAAATATCTGAATAAAATAAGAACAAAAACAAAATAAGTACAATTTGAGAAATTAGATACAAAATATTAGATACAAATTCATAAATATACATAGTGATAATAACATGAGAGTAGAAATGTATATACATTCCATATAATCAACAGGTCATTGTAATTTTTTTTTAATTTCATTTTAATTTTGAATTTTTTCCTTTCACTTTCTCTTGCTTCATATTTTGTATCTAATTTCTCAAATTGTACTTATTTTGTTTTTGTTCTTATTTTATTCAGATATTTGATGTTTCATCTTTTACATATCATGTATTTTTGCACTTTATTGATTGAGGGTAAATATTATTGTTATTTTTAAGCACTATTGTTATTATAATTATGACTTGTCAAACATGTAATTCACATAACATGGTCACATAACCTAGGTTCCCTTGATGACTGACGTATTTGTCATCTTAACAGGGTACGGACAGATCCTAGTCTCTGCTCACTGTAAAGTGTTTGTGAAACAGTTATATAGTTCTATCCTTATTAGGTTCTGGGGATAAACACTAGATTTTTGACATTTGATGTTTTTTAGGTTATATTGAGGTCACTGGCGTATCATATGTAATTTCCATATGGAATTCCTGATTCAACTATACCAAGATGTAGATGAACAATCCTCTAGTTTTAGAGTTTACTACTCCAGCATAATCTTTGCTAGGTAAAGAACATATAAATTGTACTGAAAGTTTAATATATTTCATGTGGATTAGAATATTGACACTGTTATTTCCACATGGAATTCTCAATTCAACTCTACATATTATATCCAAATGATGATCAATAATTTTTGAGTTTTTGATTTTTCAACTCCAGCATAATCTGTGTGCGAACATTGAGCATTCTATTCTTATAGGCTGTACTTATATATGAATAAAATAATTTTGATTTCAGATTGAGCCTTATGGTTGAGAAATGGTGAAAACTTTGATGTAGATATTTGAACTGATGTGCTCATATCTCATGAGTGCTGTATATTTATATATTCATGTTGGGTATCATTTTTGCAGTGTTCAATGAAACTCTATATTTTCTGAATGTAGGCATAATTTTTTGAATGGTAGGACATAATGTCTATTATTTTAATCTTCCATTTCTATCAAAACTGTTTATACTAAAATGCATTCAAAAACTTGTGTGGAGTGGATAATTAGGCACAATGAGAAAGTAGGTATAATATGTGATTTTATATTAGTTTAACCTAGCATATTTTGGTGATGTATTTACAGTGTTTCCCAATTCGGTCTCTTCACTTTCCATGTTAAAAGTTCATTTGCATTTGTTGGAAAGCTAACAAATTCAAATTCAAATCTAACTAACTAACTGATTGATATAGCCTAAGGCAACACATTTACCATCCATCAAAAACATAATTGAATAATGTCCTAGTATGATTAAGTACTAATTGAAATTTTGTAAGACAATGGAACATTTGAAAATCCAATAATTGAAAGAAACAAAATGGTGGAGCATCCAGAATTTTTGTGATTTTCAAAAATCTCTGGCGAATAAAGAAATGTTTATTCTTCCAATCAGGACCGATACAATTTTAGATCATTGATTTCTAAAAAGAATGAGAACTCGAACATCTGAATGGAACAATTAGTCCAGGAGAAACACGTTCTTTTTGGCAAAGTGTTATGGAGTGAATGTGCCAATCCCGTGATAAGAATTACTTTTAGTTTGCTTCTGGCTTTATCAGAATTCGATCGAATTCGGATTTCTTAATGCCAAAAAACGAAATGGTGGAGTAACCCTAACTTTCGTGATTTACAAATGCCGCTAGAGAATAGAAAAATGTTGATATTGACATCAAGATGTAAGTCCATGAAGATTGCGTGAAACCCTGAAAATATATAAAACTTAATACTAGTTGTAGTCAAAACATAACGAATTTCGAAATGTGTCTGCCTTTTGCTTCAACTACGGAACTGAGCCAGCTCTGTATCGACCGGGCTATTTCTAACTGAAGCATTGCAGTTTCCACGCAATAATCAATTATTTGCTTCAAATCTTCCAAGTTCTTGAAGTTTCTTTCATTTGTAAATACCCGTTCCTGTAAGGTACCCCAGACATCAAAATCTACAGAGTTCAAGTCCGGGTTATTTGGAGGCCACATTGTTGGTTCGATTAGATAAGGAACTCTGTTAATTGAAAAATTAACATTTTTCTATTCGCTAGCGGTTTTTGAAAATCACCCAAATCAGGGATACTAAATTTTTTTGCAATTATGGAATTTTCAGATGTTCCACTGTGTACAAATTAATCCAAATTCGATTTAATCCTGATAAAGCCAGGGGCAAACTGAAAGTAATTCTTATCACTGGATTGGCACATTCACTCCATAACACTTTGCCAAAAAGAACGTGTTTCTCCTGGACTAATTGTTCAATTCAGATGTTCAAGTGCTCATTCTCTTAAGAAATCAATGATCTAAAATTGTATAGGTCCTGATTGGAAGAATAAACATTTTTTTATTCGCCAGAGATTTTTGAAAATCACAGAAATTCTGGATTCTCCACCATTTTGTTTTTTTTTTCAAATATTGGATTTTCAAATGTTCCAATGTGTTCCACAGTTCTTTATCTTTGAAATAACTCTAAGAAATCCAAATTCGATGGAACTTTCATGAAGCCTGAAGCAAAATAATTATAATTGTTTATTCAAGATTAGCACATTCACTCCATAACAAATTGCAAAGAAATGAGTGTATCTACTGGACTATTTGTTCGATTTCAATGTTTCTTCTCTTCAAAAATGAATAGCCTAAGATGACATTGGTACAGGTTTGGGAAGAATCTGATTTTCTTTTTCTCCAGCGGTTTTTGTAAATGACAATACTTTGGTAGAATCCGCCATTTTGTTTTTATTCATTATGAAATTTTCAAATATTCCACTGTATACTATTATAGCCCTTTAGCTATGAAATGACTCCAAGAAATCTGAATTAGGTTAAGAAATTATGAAACCAGGAGGAAAATAAAATATTCTGTTTTTTTTGTGACCACCAGATACATCAAGGGACCCTAACATAAACTACCCTACTGTACTCATTTATAATGAATGATTATTTTTCTTTGTGGATGTGAAATAGTCATGAAAACAGAAAATACCACTCTGATCTGACAAACATAATAATCAGTGTCAGAGTCAAAAATCCCAATATTCTGTGGAATAGCCCTAAAAACTATGGCCTGTATTATTGAAAATATTCAAAAAAATGTATGTAGAATATTTGAACAGCTTATGTTGATTTGGTATTTTTACTCTCAATGTGGAACTTCATGATGAATTCATACATTGACAGAGAGGATATCAAAGCAAGAGGCCAAAGGACATGAAAATAAGAAGTATATTTATCAGTTCAACCAACTGTGGTGACATTTGGTGGGGGCAACATTTGGTGGACAATAAATAATGTTAGCCCTTACCCTCCCTGTGAGATGTTTTTAAGTTGACATTCCCTGTTACCATACTACTCATGGTGTAGCTGGGCTACACAATTTCATGAACAAGGAGGCTACAGAATCATCTGAAATATTCACAACATCCTGATAATACCTTTCAGAACCAGTCCATCAGTTGGTATTTTTCTAATGCTTTCTTCTGCAGCACACTCCAAATTTATACAACCATTTTGATCATACTTGAATCCTCCCAATGTCTCAAAAGTGCTAGCTCCAGGTTTTCCTAAATCATTCACAAAAAATTCAATATCAAACTGACTGGGATTTGTAGCTCCAAGTCTGACACCTCCTGGAAAATCTGCTTGAACACGAGCTCCCAAAGGAATTATTCTTACTTCAGTGACAAAGACTGGCTTTGGAAACTGCACCAGATCTAAATTGATTTCCTAAAAGAACTTGGTAAGCAAATATTATGCATGATAGAAAAAATATAGGAATGTGAAGACTTTATCCACTATCCTACCTCTGTGTTATCATGAGCGAATGTATCGAAAAACAGTAGTTCTATCTGTTCCAACATAGTCATCGAAGCTCTAAAACAGCCAGCTTAAGGTACATGAATTAGAAATATTAGAATTGCTATGTAGAAGCAAAAATGCACAGCACAGGTGACACGGTGAATGGTGTTGGTGTTGGTGTACTGTGTGTGTATACAAGTTAAGATGGGCTACAATCAGAGAGGCTGGCTGAGTGGCTGTCAGGCGGCAACCAGCTGCTATATTTTCTGGCAGCTACGATTTCCGATGACACCCGAGAGTCCAGTGCCGCCCGATCCCAAGTTAAAAAGTACCCGGCTGATGGCAGCCAGCAGATGCTGAATCTTGCATAATTATAAAATAAGTTATTTCTGGAATTCATTGTTATAGATCTTGTACTGATTTACATTATTGTTTGAATGGTCATGAAAATGTGTATGATCCAGAGGAGATATGATATTATTTACAGAGCTTAAAGCATCAATGCTCTTATACCTACTTTTACCATTAATTGAAAAAACAAACAACTGAACTTATTCTCATCATGCTTCTGTCAGAATGACACAAAGTGGAAGGAGTCACTCCCTATCAGGAATCATTCAAACAGACCTAATATATAATATATTTTTTTCGGTAGGGATTGCGAGGATTTTTCCGTTAGGCAAATCGTTCCTTTAGATATGCTCGAATGATTCCTACCCTATGTCTCCAAGCAGTTTTTCATTTACACACTAAAAAAAATTTTTATGTGTAGGGTTGAATATGGTATATAATTTTTCGATAGGGGTTGCGGGGATTTTTTCGATAGGCAAATCGTTCCTAAGGTCTGTTCGAATAATTCCTACCCTATGTCAATGCAGCAGTTTTCCAGTTACACACTAAAACAAATTTTTTCATGTAGGGGGTTGATAATGATTTTTTTTTTCGGTAGGGGTTGCGGGGTATTAAATCTCTTTCGTCGAATAATCAAAGAATTGTCTGGTCTTAATTATACATTTTATTTCGTCCCGTACAATAAGAACTCTGACGTCTTTCAAAATTATTATTTTTCACTACTATCTTTTTTTTCTATCAAACCTCAATGACTTATCCAAACTATATACAAAGCGTTCAACTAAAATATAACGAAGTAACATTCTCCCCCCCCCCCCCCCGTGAGGGAGTTTAACTCGTCTCACTCTCTTGATCTCCTCGGGGGTCTTCTACATCGATTCTACAAAGCTTAGCCACTGGCCTTTTGTAGATTCCAGTAGAAGTTTTCACATCTGCGATGCGCACTCTTCCATCGAGTCCTGGGTAAATCTCTTGTACTTTTCCTAATTTCCAGGATTTCCTTGGTGCATCGTCTTCAACTATGATGACGATATCATCAACTTTCAGTGGTTTTCCATCGTCAGTCCATTTCGTTCGTCTTGTCAATGTTGGGAGATAACGCTTTGGTCCACCTTTTCCAAAAGCTTTCGACTACTTTTTGTGACTTCATCCATTCTCTTCTGTAGTCCACATTGTTCGGAAACTCCATCGTTCTATTGAAGGTTCCCAGTAGGAAATGATTTGGTGTCAGGGAATCAAAGCCGTTTGGATCCACAGATATCTTTGTCAGGGGTCTCGAATTAATGATGTTCTCGCACTCTGCGAATATGGTTTGGATGAGTTCATCTCTCAGGACCTGTCCATTCAGTATAACATTGAATGTTGTCTTCACTAAACGTACCATTCTCTCCCAGGCACCCCCCATGTGAGGTGATGCTGGTGGTATAAACTTCCAATGGATACCATTTTCTGTGAGAGTGTCAGCAATTTTATCATGATCCAGTCCCTCCAGTGTTCTCTTTAACTCTTCAGCTGCACCTCGAAAATTAGTACCATTATCCGAAATGATTTCCTTTGGTTGGCCTCTTCTGGATGCCATCCTTTTCACCGCCATAATAGCCGAATCGGTAGTTAACGAGTGTGCAACTTCCAGATGAACAGCTCGTTTTGTCAGGCATGTGAAAATGACGCCCCATCTTTTCTCACGTCTTCTTCCAATATTTACCAGCAATGGTCCGAAATAGTCGACCCCTGTATATGTGAAGGGTCTCACTGAAGGTTTCCACCTTTCTACAGGTAGTTGTCCCATTACTGGTATAATTGGTTTCGACTTGGTTAGCCTGCATTTCCGACATTTTGCGAAAATCGATTTCACCACGCTCCTTCCATCTATCACCCAGTATTGTCTTCGTATTTCATTAAGAACAGTCTCCACACCTTGATGGGCGAATCTCTCATGGCAATCTTGTATTAGTAGATCAACCAGTCTATGTTTTTTAGGAAGAATGATTGGCCGCTTCGTACATGGTTCCATGTCTGGTGCAAGGTCAGTTCTACCACTGAGAATCAATATTCCTCGATCATCAATTGTTGGAGAAAGTTTCTTCAGACGACTGTGGTTCTTCAACAACTTATTCTTCAGGAGGCACTGTATTTCTTCATAAAAACAGTTTTCTTGACATTTCTTGATCCACAGCAGTTTAGAATTGTCTATTTCTGTTGGTGTCAAACAATTTTGAAATTTGTCATTCAATTTTCTTACTCTGGAGATCATAGTCTTGGTGAATCTGAGAACCCAGGCAGTCGTTCTCAGAAGTCGGGACAATTTCGAAAATCTGTTGATATCTGGTAGATATGGAGTCTCTTCTACAGCTATGTCAACGAATTCAGTGTCTTCATTTTCATCAATTACCTTGTCTTGATATTTCTTCGGCCAAAGCTCTTCATCTCTATCATAAAGGGATGCGGGTGCTTTGAACCATGTCTCGAAGTCGATTTTTTCGTCTGAATCATATGATCTGGTTGCGATATCTGCAGCATTCAATTTCGATGGAACCCAGTACCAATCGTTTACATTTGTGATCTCTTGAATTTCGCCGATGCGATGGGCTTCAAATTGTCCAAGTTTTCTAGCATCACCCTGTATCCAATAAAGAACTGTAGTCGAGTCAGTCCATAAATATAATCGGTCGATTCTTGTCTCCATGGTTTCTTTGATGGATTTGGCTAGTCGGCTTCCTATAACAGCGGCTTGAAGTTCTAGTCTAGGTATCGAGATTGGCTTCGTCGGAGCAACTCTAGCACGTGCCATAACGAGTGTTATATCCACTGCTTCGACGGTTAATGTCCTGAAGTGAGCCGCAGTAGCAAATGCTTTTTTACTGGCGTAGCAGAACACGTGTAGCTCCAATTTTTCTGTTTCAGGAATTCTTGAAGAGTAGCATCGAGCAATGGAGAGATTCTCGATTTTTTCCAGATCGTTTTTCCATAAAATCCAAAGTTCGGTTCAAGTCTTCGTCTATGTGATCGTCCCATCCAATACCAGATCGCCAAATATCCTGAATGAGGATTCGGGCTTTGATGGTGAAATTCACAATGAGTCCAAGAGGGTCAAAAATGGACATAGCTGTCTTCAATACCTGTCTTTTTGTCGGTCTGTTGAGGTCATCGTCAGTTCCTCTCAGTTTTTCTAATTTGAAGCAGAATGTGTCCAATTTTGAATTCCACGAGAGTCCCAAAATTTGCTGAGTTTTGCTATCACAGTCCAGATTCAAATATTTGTATATATCTTCATTCTGAGAGTCTTTCCATGAGATGCTTGCTGTTAGAAATCCAGTTCACCAATTCAAAACCACCTAGTTTCTGGATTCGTTTCACCTCGAATATAATATCGAGAGCCTCTTCAATAGTGTCCGTACAGTCTAGGTAATCGTCTACAAAATGCTTTCTTATTATTATTTTATGAATTGAGTGCAGGTGGGTGAGCATGTAGCCCCAAACGTCATGACTTGCATCTCATAGATATCTAACTGTCTTTCTGGATCTCCATTTCGCCATAAAAATCTCTGGGAGCTTTGGTCGTCCTTTATGATGCGTACCTGGTGAAACATTTCACGGACTTCACTGCAGAATGCAATTTTCCGAAGATGGAATTTCATCAGCACTTCAATAAGGGATTGTAACAAGTCCGGGCCACTTAGTAGGTTATCGTTGAGGCTGACTCCGTGTGACTTGGGTGCTGCGTCAAACACCATACGGAATTTGCCGGGTTTCTTAGGATTGACAACTCCGAAATGGGACAAATACCAGTTTCTGGGACCTTCCATTGCTGCTTCTTCGGAAGACAACTTCCGGGCGTATCCCCTCTCCACATAACTGGCGATTTTTTCGCAGTACCGAGCCTTGAATTCGTAGTTACGCTGCATTTGTCTTTCAATACATCTAAGACGTTGAATTGCTGTCGATTTACTCTCTGGTAATTGTAAATTGTCTTCTTTCCACAATAGTCGTATTTCGAATCGATCATCAAGGCGTTTAGCTGTCTTTTCCATGATTTTCATCGCTCTGTTTTCATTTTCCGTGAGTAGATTAGGAAAAGGAATTGTTCCAAAGGCGTCTGTTGCGAAAGATTGCTTTACCAACTCATGAAGATTTTCATCTGATATCTCACTGTCACAAATGTGGAATGAATATAACTTGGACTCATTCGCCATTGCCTTACCATGGAGAATCCATCCGAGCTTGGTCTTGGTAGCTATAGGAGATGTGAAGTCTTCATCATCCTGTACTACTTTATTCCTGGCGACTGTCAAGTGGATATTATCTTGTCCAAGTAATATCATAGGCTGTTCGTCGATTTCACTGAATGGGATTCCTCCAAGATATGGGTATCTTTCCCAGTCAGTCGTCCGAATGGTTTGAGTTGGTAGAGATAAGTTCTCAACACTCCTTACATTCCGTATGGGAAAGATTTTGGCATCCTTGTGAGCTCCAGATATTTTTAGGTTCACACAAATCGAATTCTCATGTCTAGAAGTCATATTATTCGTCCACTGCATGCATAAAGGTTGTGATTTCCCTTTTAGATGTAGCTTTTTGGTTAGGGCTTTGTCAATCAATGTAATACTCGAACCTTCATCACAAAGAGCAACAGTTTCGATCATTGTATTCTCCCCATAAAGTTTCACCTTAACCATTCGAAGAAGAACATTTCCAGAGCCATGTCCGATGGCAAAGATATTTTCCTGATGTTTCTGACTTGTACTGGGTGTCGAAAGGAAGTCGTCAGCATTTTGTTTTTCCGCAGGCTGAGGGTCTTTGTGGAGAATATGATGATGGTTTCGTCTGCAACCATTTATTCCACACTGTTGCTTGGATCGGCATCTGGTCGTTTGATGGTTGTTTCGAAGGCACGAAAAGCATAACTTGAGCTTTGTCACTACATCCCATCGTGTATCCACTTCGTCAGACTTCATTTTTGAACAATTTGTGATTAGATGTCCTCTAGATCTGCAGTATCTACAATATTCTACATTTTCTCCTTTGTCTGTTGAAACCAAGTTACTTTCATGTCTTTTTTGTAGTGAAAATGTCTGTTTAACTTTTGATTCAACCTTAGGATTTCTTGAAAATTTCACGAGACTTGCCGCGGATGCTTTCTCATTCAACCACACCGAAAAATCTTCGAGATTTGCTCGTCTACTGCTGTGCATAATTTTCTCACCCCACTGTAGTTTCAAAGAATCGGGCAGTTTTTGAATCAGGTCTCGCAAAAGTTGAGGATTTTGAAGGTGTTCATAATATTCAAGAGACTTGATTGTTGCCACAAGACAGTTAAGATTGTTTGAAAACTGAATCAGTGAGTCCATATTATGTTCTCTGACGAATGGTAACATTTTTGTCTTGGTGATTAATCCATCAATAATTTGGTCTGGACGTCCGAAGCGCATTTGAAGGGTCTCCAATATCAAATCAATATTCGCCGAGGTGGTCAACATGCCTGAGACTGCCAGTCTAGCCTCACCTCGGAGACACTTTTGAAGTTTGATGATTTTTTCTTCTGGCGAATATTCACATAATGTGGAAATTCGTTTGAATTGGTTGATGAACGTGGGCCATTCCTCGGGGTTTTCATCAAAATAACTGAAATCTTTCTCCAACACCTGCCTGGCTATGAATCTATCTTGTCTTGGCACGGAGGAAACTGATTTTATAGCTTCACTTATAGTTTCACAAAGCTGTCTGATTTCAGTGTTTTCAAAATCATTTTGCTTAATTTTTGTCCTCTTTGCTTCTTCTTGACAACCGGAATTATTTTCAGGAATACTGTTTACCCATTGTATGGTATTCCTTTCACACTGGTCTTGAGGTAACCTGCTTTTCACTGATAAAGTTTCGTCTTGTTCTATTAATTCTGTTTCACGTACTTCGTTCTCAAGTTCCAGCAATTTGAGTTCATTTTCAAGTTTTTTCATTTCGATGGCCTGTCTCAACTTCTCGACCTCTAGGGCATGTCTTTTTCTGTGCACAGTAAAACTACTACTCACAGAGTTTTTTGTCTTTTTTGAACAAACAGATGACTTATCCAAGTTATTATTGTCAGGTTTGGATTTCGGAGTCACATTCGCTTTGTCAGTCTGGCTAAGTGACTCCTCTTCCACTGGGTTTTCATCCTGATATTGTTCATTCTCATAATATTTACACTCTGGTTTGGCTGAAGTATCGTATCATCATGTATTCTTGTCACATTGACTTCTCTTCTTGACATATTTCTAAAGTTTGGTGGCCATTCAAAATCGTTGTCAAGATTACCGTGAGTACCTGCTGTTCTCCGGGTACTGGTGAATTTCTTCAAATTCTCTTCTCTTGGCTGCATTTTCCAAAGAACCAGTTATCCGGCTCGAAGGACCAATATTAAATCTCTTTCGTCGAATAATCAAAGAATTGTCTGGTCTTAATTATACATTTTATTTCGTCCCGTACAATCAGAACTCTGACGTCTTTCAAAATTATTATTTTTCACTACTATCTTTTTTTTCTATCAAACCTCAATGACATATCCAAACTATATACAAAGCGTTCAACTAAAATATAACGAAGTAACACGGGGATTTTTTCGATAGGAAAATCGTTCCTTAGGTCGGTTTGAATGATTCCTACCCTATATACACCCTCAAAATAATTTTTGTATGTGTTGGGTTGGATTTATTCACATAGATATTATTCTGGATAGGTGTTTCAGGGATTGTTTCTATGGTCAAATCCTCAATTACTTCATTGGGTACGTTAATTTTGTCCAGCATCAGTTCTTTATTACCCTCAAAATATTGTTGTGATTTGAAGGCATGAAAAAAAAACATGTTGTCCGCCACTGGGTCTTTGGCAATGTTCGGAGGGAGATTTTGGCTGCTTTCTTTGGCTGCCATATGCACACAGCTTGGAAATCGTAGCTGCCAGAGAATTAGCAGCTGGCTGTCGCCCGGCAGCCAAGTTCACATAGCTTCAGAATTGAGGTTATATCACTGAAAACAACTTATATTATTTTCTCAGTTCTCACTGCATTGATCACTGATCCCTTGTATAATTTTGTTCTATAATTGTGTTGTTGATATATTTCAGTTCAAGAATACACCTGAGAGAACATTGGAATGGATCATCCTTCTATGATTGAACTTAATCCCAACAGACTTCTACTAAATTCAAATTTTGATGGTTACAAATTGTCTTTACAGGAAATCCCATGCCAGAGGAAAGACTTATTCAAATCACTTGACAGGGTCTTCTTAAGTCCCAAACAATACTCTCTTCTTCATGCCAAACTATTTGGTTTTCACAATTACTTAGTTGGTGATCCCTATGATGAAAATGATTCAGTTTATTTTATAGACTGTGAATGGAACATTTATAAAACATACATTGATCCTATGTGCAATGAACTCATAGATCCCATTATTATATGGTCACTACCAAAAGTGAGGGAAAGAGGAGCTGGTGACTACAATGTATCTATGAGATTTATATCAAGTAGTATTGGTGTTATAGGAGATGGTACTGGAATATTGTACATAATCGATACAGGGCTGAGGAATAATGATGATAACTTCACTGTATTGTTTTCTGGAGAAGTTACAGGTCAGGATGAACCTTTTTTAGTGATTGATGCATCTATGAGATCAAGCAAAGATGACATTGATGAACTGCATGTTTTATTACTGAACATTCAACAGGATAGTACAACTGAACATTTTTCAACAATACTTCATTGGATTGTCTTTCATAAAATAGACCACAATTGGAGACAAGATTCCATAAGACAGTTGAAATGTAGTGGTTATATTGATTATGCTTATTTAGAGCAGAACTGTGAACATATCTATGTAGTAAGTGATAGTGAAAGCAAAATTATCTTAAATTCCGATTTTCCAGTTGGGAAGAGTCAACAACCTGAAACAGTTGATGAATTTAAAAAATTATATAAGTGGTCACAAAGTGATAATGAGATAAATATAAGAATTCCATTAGAAGATAATGTTGATGAAGGGCTTATAAATGTTTCATCAGAAAAAACTGAAATATGTATCAAATATGGTGAACAAATTTTAATATTGGGTGAATTGTACCAAAAGATAAATTCCCATATGACTACATGGACCTTGAAGCAGAATACCTTAGAAATTGTTTTGAACAAGGAGGAAACTGGAACATTGTGGAGAACATTTCTGAGAGGAGATCAAAAAGGGGAATATGAAATGGATACTTGCATCATTGGACATGAGAGACCTACATTTCATTGTAAGGATACTGAGGTAAAAAATGATGATTATGGGTTTAATAACATCTACTTATCTGAGGAGTTTTGAGTTCACAATTTTTTAGACTTCAAAAAGAAATGCAATGAACTAAAAATACTTTTTTTCTGTGAGGGGAAAAAAGTTTGGCATTTCATCTCTGTTGGCACTTGGCAGGTAATGAAATGTCACTTTTTATAAATTACTTTTATCACATATATATACACTGTTGATGGCTTTTGTTGTGCTATAGTTCCGAGAAATGAGTCAATTATATCGTCTCCCAGAAAGAACTGCAAGTCCTTTTTCTTCCATTCTACTTCACAGTTACATATATTACTAAACAACCACTAAATTCACAATTTTTTGGAATCGAATCACAGAATTAGATTGACAGAAGTGACATCAGATATTTGATTACTTCAAAAGAATGATAAAGATGCCTACAACTCAGGTGTCCCTACCGTCTCTACTGTTAAAAACTTGAAATGTCACATTGATAATTTTCAGATTTCAAAATAATGTGATATCTTTTCAATATTGATTCATCTTTTCTTCTGTCACAAAAAAAAAGTGTATTATACACAGGAAGAATATTAGATTTTAGCTCAACACAACCTGGAGCTAAAATAGGGAGAAATCACAACCTGGAGCTAAAATAGGGAGACAACACAACCTGGAGCTAAAATCTACTTCTTTTTTCCCTTGTATAATAAATAACTATCAATTGTTGATTATGGGATTATTTCCAATATTCAACATCAACCAATGTTTTTGTAAAACAAAAAAATGATATCTAAAAATACTTCAGTTAATAATTATTTTCAACATTCAACCGACACATCAACCTTATACATATTATTGTACAAAGTGAATACTTTATACAGGGTGTCTGCTAAAAGGAGGTCAATCCATCAACCATATATTCCTTGAACAAAAAAAAATGAGTTTCTAAATACCATTTCTCATTTTAGCCCTCCATATTCAATATACAGGGTTTCAAAGTTGGAAATCAAAAACTGTTCTTCGTTAATTACTCAAGTATTTTAAAAGATATCAATCTCAAAATCGGTACATTACTTCAGCACAAAGAGTTACATCATGTGAGGAAAACATAACAAAAAATAACTGTCAAATATTCAAAATACTGGGGATCAAGAACACACTTGCCACCATATTTATTTGTACATGCCTCTAATGAATTCCTATTTATTCTCCTTCAAATGTTGGATCATTTTTGAATATTTTTTGTCTCCTGTAAAATTTCCATAAAATCATTTGTTTTTAAGATAATTCGAAAAGTGTTGGTTATTGTTTGATGCCTATGCGGCTTAGGGTAGAGTCACTGAATGGTATTAGCAAAGGTATTAGTTTGAAAAGAGTTCGGACACAGCTGAAGTTTTGTTTTTTTCTATTTTCTATAACACAATGGTTTGAGTGAAAAAAAGAATAAGACATATATTCTGATCTTTGTCTTTTCAATTTCCCTAGTAGTGCCTGATTGTCAGATACGATTTTAGAGGTTATATTTTCTGTCAAATCAATCATAGCCGTAGATGGACAATGGATATAGGGTAAAAACACCCACTTAAATGTATGGTTTAGTTTATTTTTTATTTTTATGTTCTGGTTCCCACGAAAAGGGATATCCTGTAATGTTCAGAAAACATCATGAGAACCAAGGGAAATGAAAAGACTGCATGTAACAACATTTTAATATTAGAAAATATACACATATCATTATGGATAAACTTATAGCTATAATTCCTTATTGTATGTGAAACTGTACTCCACTGATAAGTATAAAACATGAAGTTATTAATATTAAATTAAATAAGGTAGGTATTCTCAATATACAGGAAGTAACATAAGTACGTTCAAGTGAAGTATTCCTGAGACAATTTTAAGAAATAAAGTCTATATAAGCTTGTGTCCGAAATGCTTCATTTCGGAGATACAGGGTGTTGAAATAAACATTTCATCGGAAAAAAGTAGTTTATTTTGACAAGACCTCCTAAATACTTGGTTTTGTAAAAACTTCAATTAGCGCCCTAGGAGCTAAGTAACATAGATCGATATAGAAAATATCTCCAAAATGATAACCTTCAGCGTAATTAAGGCCCTTATAATAATTTCCTTGATACATAAATAACTATTCACTGTTGAATTTTGAATTTGGTCGGCACCAAAAACGTCATTCAATAATAATATATCACGTTGTAGTTTACTTGCTTTTCTCAGTTTCGTTTTCAAATTTTCAACTTCATTATGTAATTCTGTGATCATCTCTTTTTCCATGATTATTTTGTTTTGTATTTTGTGTGATGATAATAATGGAATTTCTTGAAATCGTCTGCTTTGTAAATTGATGGAACAGCAGATTCTCTCAAACACCTTGATTTCGAAATCTTCTGTTTGGAAATGGGCCTAAAATATAGTTTTATTCTAATCAGATGCTGTTATAAGAAGTGAATTTTAATGAGTACCTCACAAAATTCGCTCGTCTTCAAATTTATTTTCCACCGAGGTCGTTTCATATCTTCCTTCCATAAGCAATAGTTGATATTTGTTTTGGAAAATTGAATAAATGATATCCATTCTTTTCAGAATTGGCACAATTCATTACACAGCAAGTGATTTCCATGACTGCTTTTTTCTCGAAAGTATAATTATGAAATTTCATCTCAATTCTGACGTTTATGAATTGTATTGTTAAACTCAAACAATTTTGAATGAAATAGCGCGGGACGACTTTGGTGCTCTTGTCACAATGGAAGGTGTGTAACTTAATAAATCTAAACATTCAAAAACCCTATCCGTTGTCATTTCTGTGTCCGAACTCTTATCAAACTAATACCATCCAGTGACTCTAGCTTAGGGTAGTCTCATAATGTCCACATACTCCAATTTATCCGGGTGCTCAGAGCTCCAAAAAAAAAAATTGAACGAAATTCAACACGGACAACACGTCTAAATGAATTGCTCGATATGACCCCCGATTTTTTTAATACACATGCGAGCCCTTTTAATTGAAATCTCGCTCTGAGCACCCGGTATTTCCATATTCACCTTTTCGTACGTAAAAAGTTACGCCCTCTTCCAATTTCGACGAATTAAATAAGAGTATGTACCATATGTATGTACTGTAAGTTGCATAGGCATCAAACAATAACCAGTACTTTTCGAATTATCTTAAAAACAAATGATTTTATCGAAATAGTACAAGAGACAAAAAATACTCAAAAATGATTGAACACTTGAAGAAAAATAAATAGGAAGTCATTAGCGCACCTACAAAAAAAAATATGGGGGTAAGTGTGTACTTGACCCCGGGGTATTTTGAATATTTGACAGTTATTTTCTGTTTTGTTTTCCTCACATGATGAAACTCTTCGTGCTGAAGTAATGTACCAATTTTGACCAAAAGTTTTCAATTTCCAACTGTGACACCCTGTATATCGAATATGGAGGGCTTAAATGAAAAATGGAATTTAGAAACTCATATTGTTTTTGTTTAAGGAATATATGGTTAATGGATTCCTCCTTTTAGCGGACACCCTGTATAATAATCATTTGTATAGCTGCACATGCACACAGCTGAGTAACCATCGATTAACCTTGATTTGTTTCTTCCTGTACTTACACACATATTTAACATATCACCCCATGTATTCATCTCATCAGATTATCACAGTTAATTACAATTATGTAACTTGGTCAATATGACCCAGTAATGGCTGGGGCGAGAGAGCTTCTATTCTTGCAGTCCCACAACTTGTCCACTATATGCATGTGCACTCAATTAATTGTTGCCAATCTCACAAACCTTATAATCACCAGTTATCAACTTGTTGCTTCTTTCTGAGCTTCTTTCTTCTTCTGATCACATACACTATTTCAGCACTAAACAAATGGATTTTTTAACGCCTCCACATGTGCCCTGTGTGGCTGTAGAGTATAGGAATCTATAGAATTTGTCAACAATGGGGGACACCACTGAATGCAAAAAGTATTAACCAATATTGGTCACCACAAATCCTCGAGCACAAAAATAATGATCAAATTTTTTTGTCATCAAATATTCAAGTAGAAAAAAAAACAGGGCGGACGGGAGAGAAAAGTTTAACAGTAAAATTGAATAATAAATATTTTGTGGGCATCAATCCATAGGGTGAACAAGAAATAATGTTGAAAAAGTGGGACCTTTTTCAGCTCGTTTTTCAATTTGTTTGAAAACCTTTCAGAAAGACCCTCAAACAAGTAAGATCAACAATTTTTATATTATCTCCTTACCAGTGAATCCAAGCTCAAGAATACCTAGTATCAATTAATTTCATACAAAACATTTTCTCATGTGACCAATATTGAAAAAACTGCAGCTCTTTGAAATGGGGCAATTATCGAATATACCGAGGAAAATACCATAATTGTTCAGTTGTGAACAAAAATTCATCAAAAATTGGTCAAAAGCACAGAATCTCACTTCTGATATGAATTTGGGATCATTAATGACAATTTTATGTGTCCCCACCAGTTAAGTAAATCCTCGGGTTTCTGACGTTTGCATAGAAATCTCGATAGAAATTAAAAATTTTCAAGATAGGGGTTGTAAATTTATTTTTCTACCATCCTTAACAAAGTAGCCTTTGACGCTTTCAAATTCCAGCACAAAGTTGACGTTTTCCCAGAAATGTCATTTTTTGACAGCATTTGCGCTCGTGAGCGGAAATATTGAAGAAACGCTCGCACATCTCTGAAACCTATACTTATCTATTCTTGAAAACCCCCAATTCCTTCATGATGGAGAACAGTGACAGTGAATCATCAAACACACCTCCTGATATAGCAGAAAGCGCAAGAGTTTGAATCTCTTAAAAATGTTGAACAAAAAGTCGACGATAGGCTTAACAAGGAGCCTTAAAATGGCCTTATATTATGTGTACTCAATATCCTTATATTCCTTCTATGTGAGATTTGGTTCTGCTAGTTCAATGATTAGGCAAAACTTTTCAAAAACA